AACTTTAAAATTTTAAAATGGTAAAAGGGTATTTTAAAAAGGGTATTGTTAAATTTGGGGTATTTTCAATAATTTCTCCATTCATTGCTTGGCCTGCTTTATCATAAGCGAAGGCTGGCATAAACATTTTGAGCTTTGTCATTCGCCGCCTTTATCCCATCATTTCTCATACGTGAAGCTGTATCCATGGTATTCGGACCTTCATGAAGGCAAATTCACAGGCAATTTGTGGTTTATTTTTAGGGTGTGTTTGATTAACTTTGTTTTGTATGGAAAATGTCATTTTTTTTTTTAATTGAGTTCCTACTTTGGGATGTTTAATTGATATTTTTTCTATGAAAAATATGTTTTCAAAAATTAGTTACGTGGTGATATTTTCCACAAAAATAAGGACAATATTTTCTTTAGGGAGGGATAAGTTTTTATTTTTCAGACAATTCACTCTCTCATCTTCCCACCAATTAAAAAATTGACGTGTATAATATTTTTAAGGTTGAAAATTAAATCAATCAAATACATTTAATTAATAATTTTCAAGCAAATAAATTCTATAGGCAATTTAACTATTTAGAATTTCTTTTTTTATGCTTACAATCAAATACGCTCTTGTGAATCTTTGGCATCATCGGCCGTATCACAAGCTCGACCATTGTTTATTGGAGGCAAAGTTGTAGGCGTACATATTTGGGTGGACTGGACCGGGCTATAGTCCGGTCCAGTTTCAACCCAAATCCAATTTGTAGGTTATTTTTTAGGGAAATTATAAAAAATCAGTTGTTTAAAGATTACTTTCTAAAAATTAGGTTTTAACTTTATTTAATCAAAAATCAGGTTTTTATCATTTTAAATAATAATGATATTATAAAATTAAAATAAACTATATACCCACCCTACTACCTACCCCTAGGGGTGGACAAAAACCAACAGAACCCGATCGAACAAAACCAATCTGACTGGGTTGGGTCGGTTTTTTTTCCATTTTTTTAATCGGTTCGGTTTTTGGCAAGTCTAAGTGGGTCGGGTTATGGGTTAATCCATCCAACCCGACCCGCCAATTAGGAAAAAAATCGATTTTTTGTCAAATTAAATGTCTAAAATCCTAAAGTAGGAAGAATAATGCTATTTGTACAATATTGGATTACAACATTGGTTTACAACTACTCACAAGAGAGGTGGGGTCCACTATTATTTTAATCGCGGGACCCACCTCTTTTGTGAGAGGTTGTAACCCAATGTTGTAATCCAACATTGTACATGTAGCATTTCCCAAAGTAGGAAACATCACTGAATTCTCATTAAATTCCAATGAAAAACAAGGACTATATTCTTCTCCATCCAAGGAGATTGGTGTCGAAAAATTTTCGTCACACTCTATTTCATAAAATATAGAAGAAAGACTCCTTTATTGTCTTCATATTAAATAGAATTTTATGATGTTAAAGTTCCATGAGAAGTCCTCTTTCCTTTTTGAAGTCTTCTTGGAGTATTACATGCTAAATATATTATTATTATTATAGTTAATAGTTATCAATATCTTGTGATTATTAGTCTACTTGGGATCCACTTGTCTCCTTCATGGTGAAAGAACAATATTTTCACAAATTTTCTTTAAAAATCTTATTCTCTATTGATGCTTATGAAGAATAAGTACAAATTAGTATTAAATTTTTGCTGTTACCTGTAATTTTATTTGTAATATATATACAAATTTAAAACTCTTCATGCTTGTCCTTCAATGAGTTGTTCATATCAATTGAATTTTTCCTTATTTGAAACGTGTATATCCTTTTTATGCGTAAGCGACATAAAGATTTATGGAAAATAATTAACTTATTTTCTGGACCAACCCAACCCGACCCGACCTGACCGATACATAATTGGGTTGGGTTGGGTTGGATTTCAATATTTACATGGGTTGGGTTGGATTTCGAACAAACCAATAATATTGGGTTTGGTTTGGGTTTGAGCAAAAATTGACCCAACCAAACCCATGTCCACCCGTACCTACCCCCACCAAATTTATTTTAAAAAAGAACCCTAAATCAACTCTCGTCTCTCACCAATTCTCTCCACTCTCTCACCGCCAGCAACCTCCCCCGCCAC